ATGCTAAATATCGCTTTATTACAGCCGTACAAAATTAAACAGATAATAAGCAATGATGCTAAAAATAATAATAATCAATAATCTCCCTTCAAATGCTTTAAAACTACACTAAAAGTACAGATACTTTTGTGTAAAAAATATCGGGAGTACGAATACCTTGAAATAAACTACTTAAGTACAATAACGAAGCATTTGCACTCTATTACTTTCCCACGTCTGTTAATGATCATTACTACAATGTAAACACAAGTAAAAACAGAGCAATTCATGCTGAGTTTTGTGCTCTTTAATAGCGCCGTGCTCCTCCAGCTTTCCTCTGTAATCTTTTTAACATTTTCTTAGTGATTTAACACACATTGAACACACACACACACACACACACACACATCCTGTCTGTTGTACGTTAGTGGCAGAGATCAGGTCTGCTGGTTTAGACTAAACAACAGCATTTGAGTGGATTTGCTGTCCCTCATTAATCATCCTGACAGCCTGAAAAACAACATTTCCTCCTTAATGACTGTATTTGAGTAATCATGTCTGCTTATTTCCATGCAAGCATCTCTTCCATCGCTTTGCTTTTTGTACTTTCTCTTGCTATCCACATATATGTGTGTGTTGTGTGTACTTTGGAGACGTTTTCTGACCTCCCAAAAAGTCCTTGCGGCATGGCGTCTGCTCTTGGGTCACGCTGATTACCAGCGGTTGCATTCATGAAGAGGGTGAAAAACCATAAAGAAATGAGAGAATGTGACCGTGAGGATCCAGATGCGGAAGAGGGAGAGAGGAGGAGGAGGAGGATGGTGTCACCCTCCTTTACCCCCGCTACCCACCCATCCACCCACCCATCCCTCCTTGCATGCGGCTAACCCACCAGCACCCGCTGGCCTCCAGGCCTCTCTGCTGGTCGCTGCCAAAGCACGTTTTTCCGTTAAGCACCGGGTTTGTGATGCATGAGAGCTGACAACCGAGCGAGGAGCCCTCAGAGCAAAGCCAGATCAAAACCAGCTGGGGCCACGCACATTAGCAAAAGAAACCATAATTGCATTTGCCCTCTTGTACGCCACTAAACTTTTTGGCGACTTGAGACAGAAGAGAGGTGCCCCCCCCCTTTTTTTTTAGAAATACAAATACCTGCTCAAGTGCGGAGACTAATTTATCGTTGGTTGTGGGTAATTTAACACACAAGCGCTGTGGTGTCTCAGGATAGCGTCTGCAGCTAAGTTTTTAAAAAGTGGGGAAAGTGCATTTGTGTGTCTGTGGGTGGATGTAAGTTACGGATTTTTATGGTGTTTTTTTTAGCAAACATCAGTATATAGCATGGCTGACATCTGTGTCCTCTTTATTTTTGGACCACTTGAAAAGCCCACATAGTAGGATGATGGATGAAGTGATAAAGTTGGACGAAAGACAAAAAAAAGAGCTAGAGGAAGTCTATTTCTGGGAAATCGGCCTCAGTAACTCAAGAGGAAGCGTCTGAGGCAGATGTTCGTAATTTGCGACTTAAGACTTAATGATTTTAATTGAAGAAACTGTTGCACTATCTCTCTTTTTTCTTTCAGGGGTCGCTGATTTAGCCTGATTGAGAGGTTAAAGCCTTGTCATGTGATGATAAAGCAGCTCCACAGTCTGTCATCATTAATCACTGCAGCTGTCAAGCTGCACCCTGGACTCACTCAGACCAACCGGGGAGGCGAGCCCTCATCTCCAAGAACAATACCCAGAGACGTTTTATATATATATTTATATATATATAACAGCAAAATATGTCCTGTTTGTCTGGGTTTAATTTAGAGTGCTAAATGTGGTAACCACGAGATCAGGGAGTTGTTCTGTGAAGGATGAAACCTCTGGTTGACTTGGGAGGGGGGAATTCTTCTTCATTGGGCCTCTGTGAGGTGTGAAACTAATATAAACTGCATGAATGAGGAGTCAGCTTAACTCTTGAGTGAAGAATGGTTTAAAGGGAGGGAGAGAGGAGGAACAAATGAAGGCCTGGAAACAAAGAAATCATAGATGTTGTGTGAAGGGAGGTTGAACTTTTTAGTGAGAGGATAAGGCTGCAGCCGGCTCTTTGCTGGTGCTTTGAGGCTAAATGCTAACAATGATAGCCCTAACATGCTTTCCAGTCATGGAAACAACCTGGAAATTGATTAAATTGATTATTTACATATCCTGCTCATTTTTTGTGTATTTTTTTGTATTTTAATCCCTCATTTGGATCGCCAACATAGGTTTTAACGCTCCCTTTCTATCTGTTTACACCAGATGTTGAGTTACAGTGACCTTTTTGGCATCGTAATGAACCTCACTTCATCGTGAACCCTGCATTGTTATACAAGGAGGCATAAAACTGGAGTTAAAGTCAATGCTAAGTCAGTTGGAATTGGAAACCCTGAAAATCCATCTAGAAAAGACTAGTACTGGTCTTGGACTCAACAAAGGACTATTAGTTTAGCGTATTAGCATGTTGATGTTTGCTAATTAGCACTAAACACAAATTACAACTAAAGCTGATGGAAATGTTGTTAGTTTTGCAGAAATCAGTGGATCACAAGTTATTAAACTCATCTTGATGTCATCAAGTTATTACAATTTATTCTGGGAGGGGGAAAAACAATCCATCAATCCACTAATTGTCGAGATATTTCAGTTCCCCACATTGTCGTCCCACAACATCTCACAATAATAACATTATTGAGTTTGTTAACTAAAAGTGCCTCCCTAAAATTACGGCCAAAATAACACCACATGAAAATCATCTATTAGAGTATTTGTTATTTTGAACAAGGAAAGAATTAAATGAATAAATCTGGGATCATTAAATGTTAAAAGAAACTCTCCTGCTTTTCTAACTCCCTCCAATAATTTAAGTATTTATTTGACTTTATCAGAGATAAACCACATTAATAAACATCAATGTGATGCAAATGTGCAGGTATACATTAACAGAGAGATGTACTATAAGCAGACGATGCTTCCTCTTGATTAAACTTAGATAACAAATATGTTTTGTTGGTCACCAATAGGTGGCATCCCAATCCAACACTATACTTCCCCACTATACCTTTGATACAGTAAACACAGCTGACTTGAGTGCAACTAAAAATCCCTCCAGCAAATGCTACCGACTCCTTCCTTACACTTAATGAAGTAAGTGGGTTTTCTAGGCCATATCTGGCAACGTGAGACCTCCAGAGTGGGTCTATATTATCCCTCCTGCCCCGAAACTCAGACACCCCATAAGAGCATCTCAGACCACTGAAACAGGAGCAGTCTCTCTTGTTACAGGCTGTTTTGACCCCTGTGGGTCGCTTGTCAGAGCTGTGAGTGACCAGCGTGGGTCATCTATACTTCGCCAAAGGAGTGTCACCAGTGTCATGTTGCTGGGAAATGGCATATTACCGCTGCCAATCACGCGCCACCCTGCAGTAATCTGAGCGACTGTCAAGGACTTGGTCTTGCGGGAAGCGGCACTTTGGCTCTGGCGCTTATCAAGATCCTACGGGTGTGTGTGTATACATTACATCCTGATAGGTTTGACTTTTCCAATGCGGCCTCCATTTTGGTAAAACACACCGTTACCATTAAATTCGAGCATTAACTAAAGAGGGAGTCTGTTTCTTTAAGGTGACACTGCTGTTTTTTTCCTGCAGACGAGAGGAATGTGAGCTGCTTATGCAAAGATAGCAGGAAGTAAAAGCACACCTCAAGTCATCAATCATGTGATTCTTTCGCAGTAGAAAATAGCAGCTGGTACAAATACACTAAGCGTCAAATCCAGGCTGACAAACGTTTACATCTTACATCCTCTTTCTCACCGGCCTCAGGGCAGAGGTTTACTCCTTCTGAACTAGTTTGTGCAGACGTGTTGTAGGAAAGTGTTTATTGTTTCAGAAGGCGTGATTCTGTTTATATATGAGGATATGTTTACAGACAGACTCTCCTGGAAGACATTAAGAGTGTTGACACTCTTGTACTTGTGGCAGAAATAGTCAAAAAAAAAAGAGAGTTGAGAGTTACGATCGCAAAAAGTGACGCAAATTCAACCAATCCTGGTTAAATTCTGCAAATTTTTTTTTCAATCATAGTAGTTTCCCACGAGTTGAGCCATACGTCAGCAAACTGCTAGCGATTTTATTCTCACTGGAACAAGTTACCATCAATTTTTAATGAGTTATTACGAAAAATGTTGATTTTTCCAACAATTTTATTGTGAAAAATTGCCTAAAACATCATAATTCTTTGGGAAAAGCCGTAAATTCAGGCACTTTAGGCTACAACAATCTAAAAAGAAACCTCTGAAATGAGGAGGAACTAGCAGTATGAGGTTTAAATATTAAATTGGAGTTCTGTTAAATGGTAGAAATGCTCAATAAAATATTTAGGAGATATTTATTAAACATTTTCCAGAGAATTACAATTCAAAAATGTTTGTACAATGTTTTTTGTTGTCGTTGTAAATCAATAAATATCCATCAGATCATGTTTGTTTCACTGGTTTCAATGAGCAAAGGTCAAATTAAAGCGAACAACTGATTCACCTCAATCTTATTTTTGTTGTTGGTGGCATCTAGTGGTGAAATTGCAGATTTGCAGCTAACTGAATACCTCTCAGCCTTTCAAGTGTGTTTGGTTTGTCCATTCTGGGCTTCTGTAAAAATATGGCAGTTTCACCATGGCCGCTATAGATAAAAACAGCTCATTCTAAGGCAACAAAAGCACAACAATGCTTATTTCAGGGTGATTATACACTAATTAAATCATAGTTAAACACTGGACCTTTAAAGCTCATAAAACATCTCCTGACAAGAATCGTAGAAATGAAGACAACAGAAAATACATCTTCAGTGTGATTTATTTAACAAAATATGACCTCCCCCTTTTAACTGGATACCACCACAAGGTATTCCAATTGTTACAAAAAATATCACATCTCATTTTTATTGATTTGTTGTGGAAATTAAAAAATAAAATAAAAATAAAA